TATTAATTAGCAGCCTCCCATTTAACTGGGGGCTGGAGAGACCCCCGGAGCGGAGTGCAGCTAGAGGTGGATAAAGGCGTGGGGGCTGGACTCAGAGCAACGTCGTTGCAGCTCCATAAACCTCGTGCAGATAATGGATCTGACGCAGGGCGGGTTTTCTCCCCCCTCTCTTCCCCTCTCCTCTCTTTTCCTCTCCTCTCTCCTCTCCACTCCTCTCTCTTCTCCCATTTTTTCTCCTATACACGTATTCTCATTGCACCCTGGTCACCAGAGCTCACCAAGCTTGCATTTCCTAGCATCAGCCATTGTCAAGTTTTGGGTTTTGAACCTGTGTCATCAACCACAGGGAGGGAGGCATGGTGGGAAAGAAACACTCTGTAACTAGTAAGAGACCTTTGGCAAAATTGTATTCAATTTCCAAATAAACAATGTTATAACAATATTCAAGTTTTCCAGTTATGTTGTAACCAAGTTTTTTTTTTTCCTAGAGTTGTTTGTAATCGAAAGTGCTCTCTCCCTATCCACCCCTCTTTCCTCCTTTCCGCCATTCCCCTTCTTTTTGTTCCTCTTTTCCTTTCTCTTCTTTCCTCCCACCCCCAGGGTCCTCTCCCTTCCTTTTGAGAAAGTTCTACTTTTGACAACCCCAGGAACCCGGTCTTGAGCCAAGCCATACTATGCTGCATTCTGGGTTGACCTTTCATTCCTGTAGAGCTGATCCATCCTTTCCATTGCCAAGATATTAGGTGTGCTTTTAAGAAGGTTGCCTTTCAGTCGTGACCCTTCTTTATAGGTCAAAGAATAGCGGTCTCTCAACCTCAACTTGTAACACTGCAGCGATCTTGGACACTCTAAAGTACTGAGATGGAAACATTATTCATCTGTTTCAGCACAAATTCCAACCTATGTACAAACCTTGACAAATATGCTTTTATGAAAGTCTTTGCCATTAATGAGATTTTCCCACGGCAGTCTGAACAGTAAGAGTGTTTGTTTTAGGCTTTTTCTTTTTTCTTTTTTGAATGCCATATACTTTTCAAGTTTGGAGTTTAGTAAACTATGTATAGGCATTTCACACATTTTGTAACTACTTTAAAACCTTATTCTCTTCCTCTTCAAATCAAAATTTGTATTTGGGGCTATGTAAGTGTCCTAGATAGGTACCAATGGTAGCCAAACTTCCATTGAAATCGGCTTCTTAAAAGAGGGCAGGTAACTTGTGCTAGCAGAGTTGTTGAGAATAGGAAGAAGAGGGATTTCAGTGATTTCCTGAGATAGTACATCAAGATAGTGTGGAGCATGGATTTTGGGAAATGCCATTTTTGGGGGTGGGGGTGAGTTGTTCATAATAAAATGAAAGCAGATGATGAGGAATTTAGGTGCAAATAGAACAGACAGACAGACAGACACACACACACTCTCTCTCTCTCTCTCTCTCTCTCTCTCTCTCTCTCTCTTTTCCTGAAGTCCATAGTCAATTTTGGATCTTGAGTTAAAAAATAGAGAAGTGGGGGATGAACCCTGAGATTAACATTGGTTCAGCATCATTGTTAGAATTTGAGAAATTCCTGGAAAAACCCTGTAACATTAGAATATAAGTTAAGATCCACCCCATTCTGGACAAGATAATACTTGAGTATCTTTTCTGGGCAGACAAACCCCTGGTGAGACTATCAGAAAGGACTGGGGTTTAAATTGGAACAAGGCATGGAACGGCAACCTCAGAACAAAGAGAAATAGAGGAAAAGGCCTTATGGGTTAGCCTGGATTAGTTGTGGGGAACCTGTGGTCTCCAGGACACATATGGCCCTCTAGGTCCTCAGGTGGAGCCTATATCCCCTTAGTTTTACAGAACAAATTCTTTTACTAAGGGGATTTGTTCTGTGAATTTTGAATTCAGGCAAAGGGCTGAACTTGAGGATTTAGAGGGCCATGTGTAGCCTCAAGGCCACAGGTTCCCCACCCCTGGTCTGTATAGAGTCATGGTTGGGAATTCAGAACCCCTGGGTTCTACCTCTGACTTTACTAATTACTTTGTTTCATTTTTCCCTCTCAATAAAGTCAAACTTTTTAAAGTAAAGTTGGTGCAGACATTCAGGAGATATGTTCATGGTAAATTGTGTGTCATTTTGTTCCAGTTTTGCCGTGACCTTGGGCTAAGCCACTTAGCTTTTCTCAAGGCAGCAGTTTCTTTATCTGTCCTATGAAAGATTTGGTCTGGATTATCTGAGGCCCCCTTCCAGGCCACTTAATAAAAGAATTAGCAAATATTTGCTTCAGCCAGCTCTGCATTAGGTCATAAGTAAAATAAGCAATCAGGATGAATCCATGTGCAAATTTAAGCTTTTAGGTATACCCTACTTTCTAAGGAAAATGCTCACATTCGTTTGTTCTAACAAGTGTAACAAGGTCTTATCGGTAACCCTGATTGGCAGGGATCAGTTAGTAGTATGGTTAAACTATAGATGGGGGCAAAACTGCTTTTGTTTGTTGCTTAGTTGTGTCTGACTCTCTGTGACCCCTATTTGGGGTTTTCTTGGCAAAGATACTGGAGTGGTTTGCCGTTTCCTTCTCCAGCTCATTTTACGGGTGAGGAAACTGAGGCAAACAGGGTGAAATGACTTGCTCTGGGTCACACAGTGTCTAGACCATATTTGAACTCAGAAAGATGATTCTTTGACTCTAGGCATGGTGCTCTATTCACCGAGTCACCTTACCCCCTCCCCCCCTTTTTTTTGTTACTGGCAGAAATGGGCTGGGAAACATTCCTCCCTAGCCTTTTGCCCCTCTCCCCCTCTTTACCCTCTGCTAACCTGAAGATGGGAGGGTTTTGGATATTTGAATTGGGTTGTTAATAAAGCCCTGATATTTATTTATCTATTGCTTGCCCTTTATTGAATTTCTGATATTCAAAGTAGTAAATGGGAAGTAAAGACTTTTGATTTTCTTTTTCTGACTCTGTGACTAAGAATCAAGGGCTGGGTGGGGCCACAAAACATGGAATGCCAGAGCTGGGAGGGCCCAGGAGGACCCAGGCCTACAGTGCTTTGAAGTGAGAGTTGGACAACTTGGGTGGGAACCGAGGCTCTGCCACTTAAAATCTCTAACTCTGGGCCAATCAATCAAGTCAAGAAGCATTGATTAAGCTGTTATGTGCCTGGCACCGTGTTAAGTGCTAGGAATACAAAGACAGCCCCCATCCCCCAAAAAAGTCCCTATTCTTAAGGAGTTTACAATCTAATGGAGCCTCTTCTGGGCTTCCGTTTTCTCTTTCAAAAGAGGGGGTTGAAATGGATGTAAAATGGAGACAATAAGTCTGGGAGTATCTGCCTCACCAGTTTCTTGTAAGGCTACCAAGAGATAAAGTCAGTCAAATACATTGTAAACTTTCATGTGGTACATAAATGTCAGTTATTCTCTCCCTTAGCACCTACCTCAGCCTCTTAGATCCCCTGGTCTTCTGTGAAGGTCACAAACGACAACTCCTTCAAGAGGTCTTTCCTGATTGGGCATCTTCCTCTTCCAATAATAATCATAATGATAATAGTGACAATAATAATAGATAGCACTTATATAGTGCTCACTATGAGGGCTGCACTTTACAATTATCTCCTCATTCTCACGAGGGGGGGGTAGGTGGGAAGGGAGGTGCTATTGTTATCCCCACATTTTACAGATGAGGAAACTGAGTCAGGTAGTGACTTCCTCAGGGTCATTCAGCTAGTGTTTGAAGTTATATTTGAACTCAGGTCTTCCTGCCTCCCTGCCTGGTGCTCTATTCACTGTGCCCAGCAGCTTGGTATTTGTTCTTCGAGAAGCTTCTTTGTTGTCTTTCACGGTATTTACACCCTCTGCTCTCTATTTACTTTGCTGTGAACTTGACTATCCCCTCTCCCCCCATAGAATGGCACCTTCTGGAGGGCAGGGGATTGATTGTTTCACTTGTGTGCTTGTCTTCCTCAGTACCTGGCACACAGAAGGCGTTTAATACTTGAGCTATCCAAGGTCCCTTCCAGCTCTCCATAGACTTTAGACCTGGAAAAGATCTTAGACCCGCATGGGTCTAACCTGGGGTTCTTAACCTGGACTCCTCGGTTCCCCCCAGTTCTATTCTATGATTACATCAGTGATTGCATTTATCTACTTTAGCGCTTGGAGGTTTGCAAAAAGCAGTTGGCCGCATCTCTTTGGAACCTCACCGCAGCCCCTAGAGAAGGGTGCTACGGGAAATAGTGTGCCCATTTTACAGATGGAGAAAGAGGTGTCTGGACCGGAGGTTTTCGGAGCTGCCACTCCCGAACCGCCCAGCACTCCCTGAGACTCGCCAGGGCTAGCGTCCTGGAGTCCATTTCCCCTTCCCTCCCCTCCCCCGGATTCCCGCCTGTAAGCATTCGAGCCCTGGGGGCGGGGTGGGAGCGGAGGCCGAGGCCGAGGCCGTGATCGTGACCATGATTTGCAGCAAGGGCTCCGGCGCCGCCTCGCGGCCACTTGGGGAGGAGAGTCCTGTAGCTCAAAGGAGGGAGGGGCTTGGAGGGGCGGGGAGCAGGCGGAGGAGCGGGGTCCTGACAGCTCCGCGGGGCAGCGCTCGCTTCGCCTGCTTATGCATATTCATGAGCCCCCACCCCCGAGGCTGCGGGAGCGGTCCGAGCGGACGCGGCGAGCTGGGAGCGAGAGGCGTCATGAACTCAGGTGAGGAGCCGGGGCTTCTGGCTGGCCAGAGGCCGCTTTTCTATGTTGGGTGGGGCGGGGCTGCGAGCCGGCGGGATCAGGCGCGAGCCGGGCAGCCCGTGACCCGGAAGCAGCCGCGCGAAGCCCCCGTTGCCGAGCGCGAGCGCCGGGGGCGGAGCTTGAAGGCGGCGGCGGCGGCGCCTGAAGAAGAAGAAGAGGAGGAGGAGGTGGAGACGGCGACGGCGGAGGAGGCCGAGGCCGAGGCCGAAGCGGCCGCTCCCTGAGCTCCCTCCGCTCCCCTGAACCTGAGGCCGACACCACCCACAGCCTCCGGCCCGGGCGGCGGCGTTATGAGCGCGGCCGGGCTGCTGGCCCCGGCCCCCGCCGGAGCGCCACCCGCCCCGGAGTATTACCCAGAGGAGGAGGAGGAGCTGGAGAGCGCCGAGGACGACGAGCGGAGCTGCAGGGGCCGCGAGTCCGACGAAGGTGCCGCCCCCCGGGCTGGGGGAGGGGAGCAAGGGAGCGAGAGAGCGCCGCAGAGAAGGCCGGGCGTCCAGCCTCGGCGCCTTTGTCCGCTCTGGGCCCCGCGCCTGCAATGCGCACTCCTGGCCGTGGGCTGAGGTCGGGCCTTCTCAGGGTGGGGGCGGGGGGGGGGGGGGGGGGGGTGGAGCAGCCTTGTCAAAACATTTTATTTCTGATATGGTGAAGGTCAAAAGGTTCCGTCTAAGTCATAGCTCTTTTGGGGGTGGGGAGCTCCTCAAATTTTAATCCTGGGACCGAAAAATTGGAGAACCGCGGGATGGAAAGAGCCGAGAAGGGACCTCAGAACATGTCCCAACCCCCTCTTTTTACAGCTGAGGAAACCGAGACCCATCCTTTCCACGGGGCCGTCTAGAATCTCTAGTTTTTGCCCAATCGGGTCCATCCACAGGCTTCTATTTAAATGCGCACTTTTTGCCTGGCTGGCTCTAGGGCCTAGTCTTAGGAATCCTGATAAAAGCAAAACAAATACTGCCTGCCCTCGGGGAGCTTACCTTCTAACGGGGGAAGACATTACACAAAATGATGGTGGGAGGGGAGGGTGGTGTGAGCTCCGGGCGTTGTCCTTTCCTGTGCCCTTCCCCCGCCGGCTGCTGGCGTCGTCCTTCTAATACCCATCGGAGGGAAGTATTTACTTTGTATACATTGTATGTAACACATTTGTTTACGTCGGTAGAATCGGTCCTCCGCAATCGTTTATTAAAGCCCTACTGTGTGCCAGGTGGTAAGGAATGTGTTAAGAGTGTAAGCTTCTTGAGCACAAAGGCTTTAATGTCATTGCTGTAAAAATAGTTTTAAAAACCACAGGAAACATTTAAATATGAAAAATAAACAAGTTACGTGGCGCAGTGGATAAAACGCTGGGCCTGGAGTGAGGAAAAACTGAATTCAGATTCGTCATTAGACATTTCTTAGCTTGGGACCCTGGGCAAGTTATTTAACTCTGTTCTCCTCATTTTCTTCCATCTGTAAAATGACCTGGAGAAGGAAATTGCAGACCACTCCAGGATCTTTGTCAAGAAAACCCTGAATGGGGTCGCGAAGGATAAGATTGAAAATGACTGAACAAAATTAAAAGATGAGTACAATGATAGCATCTACCTCCCAGGGTTGTTGTGAGGACCAAATGAGATAATATTTGCGAAGTGCCTCGCACATAGTAAGTGTTATGTAAATGCTAGCTGTTGTTATTGTTATTATTTGATGTATGGGGGAGGCACCAATATCCAAGCCTCTGGGGGTGGGTGGAGTAGGGTGGATCTGGATTGTAGTGGTGGCTTACTCTGATTGTCTGACCTTTGGCTGGTCACCCTCTCTGAACCTTAAGGCACCTCTTTTAAGACTAAGTTGTAGGAGCAATCTGTGTGGCATGCTATGTGTGAGCCTGTTATGGGGGCCCCTGCCCTGTAGGAGCTCACAGTTTAAGGGGTTGAGGCAGAAGACCTGCTGCAGTTGTGCATTCGTTTCCATTAATGAAGGAGGTATCACCCGAAGGAGTACTCTGCAACAGATCCTTTCCAAAATTCCCAAAATCCCTAGAACCTTGCCTGGTGGCAAGATGTCTAATAAATACTTATCGAATAAATAAATTGACTTTTAATACTTGAAGGGCTTTTACTTGGAAGGGTGATTAGATTTTTTTTCTACTAGGGGCATAGTGGATAGAGTAAGGGTGGGGAATCTTCTGCCTGGAGGCCACATGTGACCCTCTAGGTCCTCAAGTGTGGCCTGGGCCTAGAGGGTCACATGTGGCCTCCAGGCAGAAGATTCCCCACCCCTGAGAGCAAAGGACTTGAAGTCAAGACCTGAGTTTGAATTCTGTCTCTGACACTCAGTGGATATGTGACGCTGCGTAAGTCACTCAGCCTCTGCCTGCGTCACTATCCTCTTTTGTAAAATGGAGATAGTAATAGCAAATCCCTTGAACTGTTATTATTTGGCTCAAATGAGATAATGTATGTAAAGTGCTTTGCAAATCTTAAAGCTTTACCTTTTTATTTTAAACCTTAGCTTTGAAGCACTATGTACAAACTAGCTGTTATTGGCAGCAAAAGACAGAAACCTGAAGCCCTGAAGCAGTGGGTTGACGCTGCAGAGAGGCAAATTTGGCTTTTCCATAAGAAGCTCCTAATGACTGGAGATCTCCCAGGAGTAGAATGACTTCTTATATTATAGCCTCCAGAATCTGGAACATTGGCAGTCTTCTAGAAGGGTCTTTGGTGTCTCTTTGTTGGTTATGACATAGAGAGAATTTTTATTCATATTTGGTATTCTCTGAGGCTCTTTCTAATTCTGAGATGCCTTGATTTAGAACCTGGGGGAAGGGACCTTAGCAATCATAGGATCATGGAGACTAGAGCTGTAATACTGTAATGGCTGGCACTTAGCAGCCTCAGAGATTATCAACCCAACTCCCTCATTTTACAGATGAGGAAATTGAAGCTCAGGTTAAGTGACTTGCATAAGATCACACAGCTAGGAAACGGCAGAACTGGAAATTGAACTGAGAACGCTTTGATTTCAAATTCAATTGAAACATTTTAGTATGTCTTAGTACTAGTAAGACATACACATTGGACTTCTTGCTTGCTGGTTTTTGTTACCATCTCTGTCTCTTCTCTCACCTCGATTGCAGGGTGGCTGAGCCATCTCTGAATTAGAGTTCAGGGACACTTGCTACTATACCCTAGACTTAGAGCTAAAACAAACCTTTGTGGCCGTTTAGTCTTTGTTGTTCAGTCATTTCAGTCACATCCATCTCTTTGTGACCCGTTTGGGGATTTTCTTGGCAAAGGTACTGGAGTGGTTTGCCATTTACTTCTCTAGCTCATTGTACAGTTGAGGAAACTGAGGCAAGCAGGGTTAAGTGACTTGCCCTGGGTCCATAGCTACTAAGTGTCAGAGGTCAGATTTGAAATCAGGAAGATGAGTCTTCCTGACTCCAGGCCTGGCGCTCTGTGCACTATAGTGCCCCCTAGCTACCTCTATCCTTGCCTTAGGAGCGTATATTCTGATAGGAGAGAATGCATAAAGGGGAATGGAGCCTGGGAGGGTTTCTGAGGAGAGATCATAGATTTAGACCTGGAAGGGACCCTAACAACCTTATTTTACAGATGAGGAAACTGAGGCCTAGAGGTGAAATGACTTGCCAAGGTGCCAGGTAGTAGTAGAGTGGAATTTGAGTTCATTTCCTAGAATTCCAAGTTGCACTGCTCTTTCCAGTGCACCACTGCCTCTTAGTGAGGAAGTTACTAGCATGATGAGAGCTCACCGGAAGGTATGTTTGTCATGTCCTTTCCAGGAATGGATTGTCAATTTGATTAGTGTTCCCCCAACAAGAGGTGGGACCTGGTGAGGGTATGGTAGGGAGACAACTGGGTTCAGGTATGGGGCCAGCTAGATATGATCAGAGATGCATGGTGGGCACCATGGGGGGAAGATGGCCAGATCTCAGCATGGCTGTGGTGGGAAAGGGGGAAACTTACCCACGGGCTGAGAGGTAGCCAGTAGTAGCACAATTGGGATTTGAACCTAAGCCTTCTGAGTCCAAATCCAGGACTCTCTGTCCTCAACTATATGGACTCATTTGAATAACATTTCAATAGTAATTTATAGTATACTGCAATTAAAATTACTATTTGGAGTAAGTCCAAACTTGCTTACCCCTGTTTTATATATGGGGACATAGAAACTAAGGATGTGGTAGAGATTATTGGTATAATGGAGGAAGACCCTGCCCTGAGTTCTATGGGTAGATTCTTTTGCTCTTTACTGCTGTTGTGTTCTTGGGCAAGTCAGTATACTTTTAAGGGCTTCATTTTTCTGAGTTGTAAAATGAAGATGCTGTCCTAGCTGCTTTCTAAGTCTCCCTGCGTCTCTAAATCCTATGATTGTCATTTACTCAAAGGTTGTCTGAGGTGGATTCTTTGAGGGCCTGGCCTAGCTGAATTTTGTAGTTGAATCTCATGGGCCTAGCACCTTGATGGCACTTAGGTGCTTAACAAATGCTTGTTGATTGGTCTGTGAACTCTCCAAGTCCATCACCTCTGCTGTTATTTTTGAAATTCTACCCCTCTGTAGTTGGGCTCACCTCCTCCCATCATTTTTCATGATCGAGTTCTCCCATAATGCATTTTACCCACATTACTCTTAGATACATGTGGCCAATTTTGTATCAGTTATTATTTGGGCATATCTTGTCTCCTCTGACTAGATGGTGAGTGTGGATCTTGTCTATTTTTAGATAATTATTGTTAATTGAAATGAAACCTAACAGTGAAACCTAGAGGAAGAATGGGTCGGTCAGTCAGTCAACAAGTATTTCATTAATCTCCTGTTATGTGCCAGGCGCTGTGCTAATATCTAGCAATACAAAGAACCAACCCCCCCCCCCAAAAAAAAAAGAACCAGAAACCCAAGCAAACAAAACAAACAAAAATAGTCCCTGCTCTTTGGGACTTCACTTTAAATGGGGGTTTTGTAGACAACAAAGAAGATATATAATCAGAGGAAGGCCCTGAGATAAAGAATGGCTAAGAGAGCTTCTGCCTTGCAGAAGGTAGAGATGAGGAGGGAAGGAGTTCTTGGCATAGAGGATAGCTAGTGACAGTGCTTGGAGTCAGGACATGGAGTGCTGAGTGTGAGGATCTGCATGGACTCCTGTGTTGCTGGATGGTAGAGTAGATAGAGGAGAGTAAGATGTCAGAAGAGTGGGAAGTCTAGAGGTAAAGAGGTTGGGAGTGGTGGAGGAAGATGCTAGGAGGGTGCAGAAAGGGGGAAGGGAACAGGATTCATCAAGGCAGGGGCAAGTTCTAGAGGTTCTGGGTTGAGGTGTAGAGCAGTGCTAGGTAGCACTTGGGGGTGAAGAGTGCACTAGGCCAAATGAATGGAATTTAACTGGGTGTAGGAGAGGGCTGCAGAGGACTACTGAGCCTTGGCTGCTGGGCTAAAAGAGATTCACAAGGAGAGTGTGTGTGTGTGTGTGTGTGTGTGTGTGTGTGTGTGTGTGTGTGTGTG